GCGTTATTGCGAAAATTGAGTACCAAAACCAAGCCACAAAATAATTGAATACATTTCGATTGCAAATAAAATTAACCAGCCATTATGCAGAGATTGTAGATTACATTGTACAAATACTGTGAATTACTTTATTTTAGCTGGAATTAATTTTAACTGAAAAAGCTTTTTGGATGTTTTGTATGGAATTTATTTTCACTGATTTTTGATGAGTTGAATGGTGAGACATAGGAAAAAATGTATATTCACTGGATTTTATTTTCACTGAAGCAGCCCTTCAGCGAAATAGCGAAAATAATTTCCAAGTGAAAATAAAGTATTCTACAGTATATAGATGACCGTAGTTTAGTGTTGTGCAAATTAAAGTTTTTTTTGTTTTCCATTTCTTTGACATTTTATAATTATTATTATTTTTATTTGCAGCACCTATAACTTGCTCACCAAGACAGTTTTCGTGTGCTTCAACAAATCTCTGTATACCGAGTGGATGGCGATGTGATGGAGAAGATGATTGTGGAGATAACTCTGATGAGGAACTGGATGAATGTAAGTGCTATAAATGTAACACTAACCCCACATACATGTGTAGATTATCCCTTTTTTATAGATTTATTTTTATGTTATAATTGTTATCAATAGATGAAATGATTTCTTGTTAAATTTTGTCAGCTAAAACCAAAATTGAAAAGATTTGTTTCTAATCATATGTTCATAAAAACGAGCAGTCATGCTCCTTTTGTTTGTTGCATCTTTGCAGCAATTGTTTAGAAACAAGGGTGATGTGCACCTTTCAAACTTGCCAAAAACAAATCTGTTTTTTTTTATCAAAAACAATTCATTAATTTTATCACTTTTAAAGACAAAAGTTTTTGTAAGTAATGTGTTGAGGGCGCTATATGCATTTATCCCTGGATTTCAGTTGAATATGGATATACTACATGTAGTTAATGATGATAGTTGGATTATAAAGTTAAATAATTGGGGTTAAAGGTACTATTTTGTGTGACAATAATGAAAAAGGTTTTTGTTTTTTTTTGAGATTTTTAAATATTTGATAATACATTATTAATAATTGGGTAAATTATTGTTTGAAAAAAAATGGTGATTAATTACATGATGATGATCAGAGGTGAGTAATGGAGGAAGCAATAACCATTAATATCAACTGAAACTTAGTAATGTATATTGTTTTAAGGTTTCCATGGAGATATTGCAGTATGACAATCATGTAATTAAACTATTCTCAATGTTTACTGCTTTGAATGTGAATTAAGGTTTTTATGATTGCTGTATGTTACAATGGTTATTAACCTTTGTAAGTTGATTTTGTTTTCTTTCATTAATCAAGACATGTATGCAGTAGGATATTATCTTAAGTTGGCAAATTGAAAAACAAATTTTGTAGCAAAAACATGACATTTAATAGGTTGAGCATTATTTATTGCAATAACATTTGAACGTACGTTGTGTGACAAACGGCAAATATAAATTAAATAAATGTATATAAAGAATACAGTGTATGTCATGGAATATATGGTAGTACAGAAGATATTTATCTGCTAACCCATACATGTATGTAATAATTATTATTGTGTGTGGGTGATGGCTCCAAGCATGCCTTAGAGTGGTAATATTTTAGAAAAATTAATTCAATTTCCAGGGATAACGCATTATAAGTAATTCATTGTGTTTATATGGTTCTTAGGACATTGATGTAAAATATGATATAGTAGATGAAGATGAATAAATTGATGTCGTTTTTGAAATGTTCAATCACTTTTAATATATTTGTTAATGAAAGTGATTTCGGTATCACATTATTAATATACATGCAAATAATGCTTCTTTAAAAAGTGCATTTTTTTAATACGCCTAAAATGATTTTGCCTTTTATCAAAATGAATAAATATCTCACTACTACTCGTCTATATCTCATTATAATCAATATCTACATTTGATGATCACTTTTCAATAAAACAAATATTTGTCACTGTTATTTTATTTTATTGTGTTTGTTTCATATCACGCAAGCAATTCTTTCTTGTTTCAAAATGTTTCATTTGTATGATTTTTGTGAATGCCATAATCAATTTTTTTTTGTTCTCTTCACCTGTCCTCTTTATTTCTTTATGTTTGTCAATGTTGCTATTTTAATTAAATTTCTGATACAGCGGATCCTAACAACGGCTGCAGTAAGTACAGTTCAGCATGTTGGAAGTTTTGATTTGTTTGCCAAAACCTTGCATGTGGATGTAGCCTTTGCAACCTTGCATGATATTTTCTTTTTTTTGCTGCCATTTTGTTTATACAACATCTTGCGTGTTTTCATACGTTGCCATTTTGTATACACATAAATACTCACTCAATATGCAGGTGTTAATAGCTTTGAACTTCAAATGTTTGGTGCTTCGTGTGGTACATTTGATTTTACTGTGTTGGTGGAAGGTGTGGAAAATAACAGAAATAAAAAACTAAACAAAAAGACCCCTAATCTATGGAAGATATATTATTTCTTTCAATATTTTCTCAAAAAACTGAGTACAGTCAACATATGAAAATTAAACTATGGCTAGGTTTTAATATGTTACTACACTCCATTTAAAGAATGCATGAATGTTATTTTAATGAAATTTATAAAATATTTATAAAGGCTTCATTCAAAGCCCCCCCCCCCCCCAAAAAAAAAACTTTTTATTGGCTGTATAGGCCGTTTTGTAATTCTCATTACCCATGAGTCTTTGCAGGTTTCCTTATCGTGGGCCTTATCATTTACTGGCATATACAATTATTTTATACAATGCAGTATACATCTGCAATTTGAATGTATAAAACATTGTACATAGCCGTTCATGCTGCCAAGCATTGTGTACTATTAGTATAAACTCAACTTTTATATGCACAATGTGCTTTTTAAAACTTGGGTTAGAGCCTTATGCGTTTGAACCACAGTATTCTGAGAGTGATAGTCCAATTGTGTTAAAGTACCGCACTTCCCCGATCGTAAGCCCCTCCCGAGTATGAAGCCCATCCCTATGTTTTTACTTGGTATTTATCGAGTTGAGGGCATTCACGATTATAAGCCCAGAGTGTTTTTACTGGGCGTCGACGATATTCTTTAAAATATGCGTGTAAAAGGTGTGTTTCATTTCATAATAATCGTGATTGGCATGTTAGTTTGGTTCATGCTTTTAGTTTTATGAGAAAACTCGCATTAATTTCAAGTTCAGAGTGCATGGCGAACATACACAACGTGATTCGCATCGTTTCTATTCTGTCATTTACTCAGGATGAACATCGATGTTGCAATT